TCACACAGCCTGACTCACTCAAACTCAATGCTTGCACAAAATCCCTATGGCCCATGGAAAGGAATTTAAAGTACAAAGCAAACAAATGTGGGATAAATGGTCAGTACATTGTCAGGCACTATTTTCTTGGCCTGACGATAGGCCGGGGAAGTACCAGGGATCATCTCTATCAGAGTTGACAGCAATGAAGTGTACTACCTGCCTTTTTAAAGACAATGTAAGTGTGATTCAGGGAGGCCAAATAACTTGTCCAAGGTTATACACTTAAGTAGAAGAGAGCAGATACTTTAATCCCGGTCTGTGTGCCGCTGAAGCCCAAAACATACTGCTCTGTTAGTGTTTCTTACTGTACTGTATAGAGCACCAGGAATCTCTCAGGTTGACAGGAGCTTTAAACCTATGAAGATTCTGAGGCCTAATTTTTGTTTTCCAGTAGCAGGGCCTAGACCTCATGAATCTGCCCTCTTAATCAGGTGTCCAAGGCTGAGAACGACACGTCTTCTCTGTCTATTTCTGAGATGTTCTCTACACAGGCACGTCTTGAGAATAAGGAGACACCTAACCATCTATAGACTGGGAATCCTGATCCTGGGAGTAAGTTTGGGAAGATTATACTGAAGAGCAGTTTGTTAGTTGGTAAAGATCCCTTACTTTCCTTCCACAGAAGAAGCCAAAATCCAGCTAGAAGAGGGATGATGTGATTAGGAACTTGAGACTAAAAACATTTTCAGATGGCATTGATACCTAGAGTGACATTGATATCAGAGCTGAGAGGGAGTGACATTGATATCAGAGCTGAGAGGGATTTGGATAGTCCAAAACCTCTCATCTATTTTAAAGACTCTGGGGCCAAAATTGTGGCACAGTAAGTTAAGCTGCTACTTGTGATGCTGGCATCCCATAGTGGAGTGCTGATTTGAGTCCTGGTTGTTCCATTTCCAATCCAGTTCTCTGCCAATACATGTGAGAAAGAAGCAAACAATGTACCAAGTACTTGGACTTCTGCCACTCATGTGGAAGACCTGGATGGAGTCCTTGGCTGCTGCTTTGACCTGGCCCAGCTCTTCCTGTTGTAGCCAGTTGGGTAGTGAACCAGGAGATGGAAGCTCTCTCCCACTTTCTCTGTGTCTCTCCTTCTCTATCCTGTTTCTTTTTGAAATAAATAAAATATACCTTATACCTGCTACTCAAAGAGATTAAATGCCAAACACCGAAGGCCACACATCTGTATAACACAGACTGTGATACTTATCTGTTGATTCTCATGCTTGTCACACCACCATGATGTCCCCGAGATATGCCATCTACTGACAAGAATATAGGAAGCATTTTGGCTTTGTTTTGAAATATCATGATATACCCCAGAGAGAAAAAAATAAGTCAAATCAGTTTTGTTATTTTATCTTTGGCAACCAAGTAACTAACCTCTCATAGTATAGAAATGCCAATTTGCTCCACCAGGAACAGCAGTAATGTTTTTCCCCATGGCAAAGGCTATTCCAAGGATTCTAGAAACAGCAGGGATCCCTGGTGAACAAGTTTCGATCTAGGAACAATTTGCTTGCCTGCTCTGTGCATGACACACTAAAAAGCTGCCATGTTTATGTCTTCATCTAGATGGCAAAGGCTGACACCATCTGCTCATTTCAGAGTCTGAAAGGAAGGTGACTTGGAGAGTCAATATTAATCTGGTGTCTCTTCCAGGGGCCACAACATTCCCTGAATGGCCCACTCTTCCCCTGCCCTTTAGTCATCAGAAATGTTCTGATTGTGTCAATCGAACCCATTCAGCTCTGGCATCAGCTGCTACAGAATGAGCATGGGCTGGAGTGTCAGCAGACGGGACTAAGGTCTCAAACCACTGCTCACTGGAACCCCCGAGGTGGACTAATGGGCTTCTTTCCACCTGGAAAAGGAGACACCCTAAGCAGTCTGTTGGGCCTTTCTGCCTTGGTTTATCTGTCTATGAAACAGGGACATATCAGTCAGGCCAATACTCTTTACAGCAAAACTATGAACAAAATGCTTTGAAAAGGAAAAAGAGAACATTTTTTTGTCACATACCATACCTTTGACATTTTCTATAAGGCTTAAAACCATAACATAGGTAACATTCACTGAACAATGACCGGGTGCAAATGCTGACATTATCTGTTCTTATTTAAAGAAGTGGCAAATGAAGGGTTGTTAAGAGCCAAGTGATCCAGCAGATTACATCTCCAGCAGCAACAGGAATAAGAATGGGGATAATAAAAATGGAGTAAGAATTGGACTACTTCAGGATAAGCATTATTTGCAGAAAGTTTTGTCCCTAGAGAATGTCTTTGTATAATCACCATGACAAAGATTTGCTAAAAGTAGGTGTATTGTTGTAGTGGCTCCCTTTCTGGACAAGAAGAGTGCTCCTGTTTGGAACCTGCTGAAACATAATGCTGGTAATGGGTCCTAGTGGGGTTACTAATGCAGTGTTACCCATTAGGAGGTAGGAGGAGGGTGCTGGAGCCCTTAAGTTGCTAACAGTCAAAGAGGATGGGATGGATGCCAACAGCAAGTGCCTCAAGAGGAGCCAAGTGTGCTCTGTGAGCATGCTAGGGCCACAGGTAGGACAAGGGTTGTCTGACACTGGGTAGAAGAAAAGCTTGAAGAAAGCCATTTGAATTTGGCATTTGAGGTAGGCACAAAAATACTCCACTGAAGTTGCCCATGCCCTAATCTAGAGAAGCTGTCAGAATATTACCTTACATGACCAAGGAGACTTTGGCGATATGATTAAGCTTTCAGACCTGAAAATGGAGAAACCTAATTACATGAGTCATTACAAGTCAAGAAGCATTCCAGGCTGAGATCAGGGAAGATCTGATGAAAGGAGAAGGGTCAAAGGTGTGATACTGCTGTGTTAGAAGTTGGAGGAAAGATAACATGAGCCAAGCAATAGGGGTGACCTCTGAAAGAAGCTACAAGAGACAAGAAACGGATTCTGTGCTGGAATTTCCAGATGACACAGCCTTGCCAACACCTTGGTTTTATTAATTCAGTGAGATTCACTGGATTTATCACTTACAGAATTGTAAGGTGTTAAATTTGTATTGTTTGAATCTATTGTCCATATTGATTTGTTGTAACAGAAATTGTTTTAATAATCTGAATTTGTGAAATGAATTAACATAGACTCTGGAATACAAGGTAGAATTCCAGACAAGAGCCAAGAGAATGGGTTTCACAGAACTGAAGATGTACATGTAAGACCATATGGTAGAACATTTTGCAACGGTGGGAATGCTTTATGTCCATGCTGTTTGTTTGAAGAGCCATTAACCATGTGCATTTATTGGGTACTTGGCATGTGGTGAGGGCCACTGAAGGACTTACTTAAACTGTAATTAATTGAAAACTAAAGAGCTACACATGGCTAATGGCAAGTGTATCTGACAGCACAGGCAGAAAGAGCATTAAGTTTAAGAGATTAAGAAGCAACTTTCTTTGTGTTCAGACCAATAAGAAATTCTGCACAGCATGCATTGTTTATCCTCTCAATGACCCTATAAGGTTTGATTTATCAGAGTGAGTCTCATTTTTTCAGAAGAGAAAAAACCAAGGCACAGAAATCATGAATAATTTTTCTAGCATCCCAGGCTGATAAATGGTAAAGCCAGGATCTTGTTTCTAGGATTCCAGATTCAGTATTCAGATCCATGACACTTCACTAGTGCCAAACCACACTGCAACTTAACATGCTACAAGTCACCACACTGCATCAGCACAGGGCTTAGACATATAATGGAGGACAGTGAACTAGAAACTGACATGATCTCTATCAAAACTGGCCAGGGAAGGATTCCCTGGGGGAATGCCATTTACCCTGAATACTAAAGAATATAGGAGGATTTTACCAGGCGAAAGGTGGGAATAGGTGGATAGAGTCCTAGACAGAGGAAACTGTGTAAAAACCGTCTGACAGGAAAGAACATGGTGTAATTAAGGAGGTGAAATACAATCAGAATGTTTTGAGTATAAAGAGCAAGTACGTGTTGAGGGTCAAGGTGGGAAAATTGGTAGAAGCCAAAGAACACAGGATTTGGTAGAATTCTGAATGTTAGAGGCATGGCGTGATAGCCTAGTGGCTGAAGTCCTCGCCTTGCATGTGCCAGGATCCCATATGGGCGTCAGTTTGTAGTCCCGGGTGCTCCACTTCCCATCCAGTTCATTGCTTGTGACCTGGGAAAAGCAGGAGAGGATGGTCCAAGGCCTTGGGACCCTGCACCCACATGGGAGACCTGGGAAGAAGCTCCAGGCTTCTGGCTTCAGATCAGCTCAGTTCTGGTCATTGTGACTGTTCATGGCTGCTTGTGGAGTGAACCAGCAGACAGATCTTTGTCTCTCTTTTCTCTCTGTAAATCTGACTTTTCAATAAAATAAAGAAATATTTAAAAAATCCTGAATGTTACCCTAAGGATTTGAGTTTTAGTCTAGGATTTTTTTACACACACACACACACACACACACACACACACACACACACACACACACACAAATAAAAAGTTTACTTATTCTGTATGGAAAATTAAATGGATGTAAGCATAGATCAGGAGATAGTCATCATCATTTTAATGATTCAGCAAACATCTTTTACAAATTCCACAGAATCCCTTAGAAACAGCATCATGTAATCAAATTGCTTTCCTATCCTTTGATTTTTCACACACACACACACACACACACACACACACACACACACACACACGGGTAGGTGTGTGGATGATTATATGGTATAAGGTAGATTTTTATCTTCACTTTGCAGTTAAATGAGTCAATTTTCAAAAAAGCACTCTGACTTTCCTAAAGTCAGTTGGCCAGTGTAAGAACTGAATCTAGAGTCTGCACTGTTTGAATCTCTCAGAGTCTCAGTTCAAGAAAGGCAGATTTCTTTGGGAGGATCTAGGCATTGGCCAGAGCCTCTGTTGAGCCCTCTCCTGCCAGCACATGGAAGCAAAAGCCCTTACCTTTCGGATACCATCATGTTTCATTTCAATTACATGGAGGGTGTAGTTGGTCCGGCGACCCTTTTCGTTGAACTGCACATTTCCAGTCAAACCTTCAAACCGCACCTGAAAAACAAGGCCAAGTCGTTCTGAATTCAGCAATGAACTTAATACACTTCATATTTGCAAAAGTTTTTCTGCTGAAGTAAATTTCAGAACCAAGAATGTTACTAGAGATGAGACTGGAGTAGGGTGAATGCTCAAAACCCTCTTTTGCTCATTTGTTTCTCGATGGACTGATGTCCATTCTGAAAGTTATTTTTGCTCTTGCTTTAGGCAAATACTACAGTGGGTCAGAAGGTGTAATTACAGGAAACCTTTTTACCATCCTTAATTATTAAAGATTCCTACCACACCCGCATCATGACCACCACCTTCAGACACCCCTGGAATTGAAGACCCTGAAGGCAGCTTACAGAGGAAATGTGTTGCTATGTTGTTGCTGAAGAGTCAGGAGGCAACTCAGGACCAGATTCTGGCCTTATGATACCTTATGTGATGCTTGAGAATACTTTCTTAATTCCTTTGTATTGGGGTAATAGAGTATTAAAAGCCTAAAGACCTGGAATTGATTTCAGCTTCCGCTTTAGTAGCGGAGTGACCCTGACTCACCTCCATAAGCCGCATTTTCAAAATCCCTGCTCCATCTACCTTGAATGACACAGCTAAAGTGAAAGTGCTGTTAAAATTTTATACCACCTCAGGAGAAGACTTTATGTCCACATCGGGGAGTGCTGGGTCTTAAAGAAGTCTGCATTAAAATAAAATCTGTATTTGAACGCTACGCACATAGGCTACATGGGGTTTTTGCTCCATGAATGAGTTCAAATTTTCGTTACCTAATATCTTCAAGTTTATATTTAAGGTCTTTTGGCCACCATGGGAATCCAGGACTTTTGTGGCTGAACCTTCTGCTCCATAGATGATAGATCTCACTAAAAAGTCCATCAGAAATTGAGCATGGTTTTATCCCAGATAAAACAAATGACATTCCTGGGGGTGGGTGTTCAGTCTAGTGGTTAATATTCCTGCATTCTACTTTGGAGTGCGTGTGTTCACTTCCTGGTTTTGGTTCCTGATTTATACCAGTGTAGACTCAAGTAGGGTGGAGATCCAGGTGGTTGAGACCATTACATTCATGTGTGACATTTGGGTTGCATTCCAAGCTCGTGACTTCAGCTCTGTTCCAACCTTCAGCTCCTGACTGTGGTGGGCATATAAGGTGTGAATGAGTGGATAGGAACTGTTTTTCTCTTTCTTATAAGTAAAAGTTAAAAACTAATGCCAGAAACCACATTTAAAAAGACTTATTTATTGGAGAGTCAGAATTACAGAGAGAGGGTGAGTCAAGGAGAGAGTGAGTGAGTTGGAGAGTGGTATCTTTCATCCTCTAATTGACTCCCCGAATGGCTGGACCAAGCTGAAGCCAGGAGCAAGGAGCTTTATCCAAGCTTCTCATGTGTGTGTCATCTTCCACTCCCTTTCCTAGGCCATTAGTAAAGAGCTAGAGATTGAAAATGAAACAGCTGGAACATGAACAGGTGCCCATAAGAGATGCTGGTATTGTAGGTAGTGCCTGATATGCCACAACACTGGCCCGAAGAAGCCATGTTCTTTAATGTCACCAGATCCCTTCCTAAGGACAATGAGCTAAACCTTTACATATTTTCAATGCAACCCCACCATATGGTCCAGAATTAATTCTTTCCCCTACTTCAAATGGCTTAAAAGGAAACCTAGCAAAATTCTGTTTTTTTTTCGATGTTTCTTTTGTGTTTAGAAGGTGTCAGAATTGCTGGTTTATGTGTATTTGAGAATGAAAGAGAAGGAACTCTCCCTCTCTCTCTCCCTCTCTCTCTCCCCCTCTCTCTCTCTCTCCCTGTGTGTGTGTTTGTGTATTTGTTATTCCCTCTTCTGAGTCTGACCGTCTCATCACCTTCTGGTTTGAAATCTCAGTGGGGAGGCCTTGACAGGCCCAGAGCACAGAGCAAATGATACAACAGATCCTTCACTTCTCCAATGAAATCTGGAGAAATCCTTAGCTTTCTAGCTTTGGGGAAGTTTAGGCTGTCTGGACTTTTCATAGAAAAAAACAAAATACAAATCTTGTGAAAAAATATTCAAAGAAGGAGTAATTTCTGTCCATGACTATCTTCACATTCTCAATTTGGTCATCTCTTGCCCACATTTAAATCTTTTCCATAGGTAGAGGTTCAAAACAGGGCTGCTAAGGTTAATGGATGCCAATTGTGTATAAATGTGTATTATGTTTCTGCTACATGAATGGCAGGGAGAAAGAGGGAGGGAGAGGATGAAAGAGGAAGGGGGAGAAAGAGAGAGAGAGAGAGAGAGAGAGAGAGAGAGAGAGAGAGAGAGAGATGGAGGGAGAGGGAGAGAGAGAAAGAGAGAGAAATGTCTTCCATTTCCTGATTCATTCCTCAACCACTCTTCTGTGCTGGCCAAGAGAAAAACCAGCTTAGCCCCACATCATTTATCCTAGAAATCAGATAATAGACTCAGAGGACAGAACTGCAGATACACCTGTTCTGTGTGAATCTTCAAACAAATGTCCCCACCCAACTCTCAGATCTGAGCTTTGGGCACTCAATCCCATTCTCCCTCATCTCGGGGTGGCTGAAGTCTGACTGATAGAACCTGGGTGGTCTCCTTCATTCCTGTTACCAGAACGCCTGTTGCCATTCTGGCACCTGCTAACTTGCTCTGATCTGAGAATTAAGCTTGGTTTTCCCATAGACGGTAGTGCATGCCAGTTTTTGAGTTAGCTCTTAGTGACACTGAAGCACATGTTTTCCTTCCTGTTGTTGCTGAGAAAGTGCTGGTTAATGGCTCTTCTGCATAAACTGTGTTACAGAATTGAAATATTCAGTGATTCTTATAAATGCATGCTAAGGGAAACTTTGTTTCAGGACATATAGGTGCAACTTTAATAGGGCATGTCAGTGAGGGACCAAGATTGGGCTCTGCTCTGAATACAGCATAGACACTGGAGATTTGTAGATAAGGTATAAGGCAAGGATCAAAGGATGGAGACTTTACTAAGGAAATATCAAGGGCCAGGGAGGATTCTGACTTAAGCATTCTATTAGGATTCCTGGTGAAGACAGCCCAGGGTGAGCAGCCATCACCCATGGGACAGTGGATGATGATGAACCTGGTTGTGGAAATGTCCTGTTCTTGCTATGTCAGCAGGATTCTTTGCTAAAACTGGACTTTAGAAGGAAGTGCAAAGATAGGCCTAGGAGGAGATTGTGGGATCTGACTTAAGTTTGACTGAAAAATAAAGAATCATTGTCAGTCATCATCTCTGGTCCCTATTTCCAATGCCACTGGGGTTTTCAAGTGGATCATTCAGCATGGACCCTCTTACTAGAAGTTCACTCATTATGACGCCTATTGGTGAGACCCTGTTGAGCCACAACCCACTTATTCTGGCGAGAGTGAGTCTTGGGACCTTCCTGAGCTTCCACGTTTCCACCTGAAATATGGGAAGAGTCATCTTGGCTCTAAGTATCTCATGCAGTTGCCATGAGGGGGTGTATAAACTTTGTGAGTTAAAACTCTGAGCTTTGTGATAAGCCCGCGAAATAGGCAGCACTGTGAACATTATGTCCATGTAACAGATAAATAAATCCAGGCACAGAAAAGTAAGATACCAGACCAGATCCCTAGAAAAGACTTGTTCAGGCCACAGTGGAGCCTTGCTGTTCTCTTAATTCCCTAACAATCCAGTGTGATGCCCACAAGTCCTCATCTGCACCCTCACTATAATCTCCTGCTGACTGTTATTGATATTTGCACTTACAAATCTAAACTCAGCTGTTCAAATTCACCCCTTTGTAAAAATTTTTTGTTTATTTATTTATCTATTTTCATTAGAAAGTGAGATTTACATAGAGAAGAATAGACACAGAGAAAGAGCCCCTGTCTGCTGGCTCACTCACAAAGTGGCTGCAATGGTTGGAACTGAGCCAGAGCTGAGCCGATCTGAAGCCAGGAGCCAGGTGCCTCCCATGGGCCTCCCACATGGGTACAGGGTCCCAAGGCCTTGAACCATACTTCACTACTCTCCCTGGGCACAAGCAGGGAGCTGGATGGGAAGCAAAGCAGCCTGGATGTGAACCAACACACCTATAGGATCCTGGTGCATGCAAGATGAGGACTTAGCCACGAGGCCATTGTTCTGGACTAATATTCACCCTTTTTAAAGATTTGTGTGAACATCTCTCTCTGTTTTCTTGGGGCAGTAAAAGCTCCTGTTCTGGAATAACTGATAAAATCTTTTCCTTTCACTTATAAGCATTACTATTTAGTTCTCCCTTTCATGCTAAGATGTCCCATTACAATGACAAGTTCTGTGGCCATTACTAAAAGGCTTGGTTACACTCCTACAGAGACCTTGCTGATGCCCACTTTTTGCTCTGACTGTCAAAGGCACCAAGAGCTCACCTAGGCAATTTAGCCCTTCATCTCATTTCTCTAGTCACTATTTCTCATAATCTGGTCTTTTCTCCTAAACTGGATCTGGAGTCCTGAGAGGCAGGGATCCTGTCTTATATTTCTATGACATGTGGGGGGTCTATTTTCATTTCTGCGGGTTTGGTTATTGTTTGGCATGTGGCAAAAGGAAAGAGTAAGAGGGACATTCATTATTTAAAGCAGGTCTTCTAAACCTGAGGTATTGGGATGTGCTTCAAAGAATGCCTATGGTTCTTCCAGCTCCTGGTCATGTACAAATCTATTAATGTGTATATGTGTTTTTGTGGGAAAAAGTGGCTCAGAGAAAATGAAGTTGTATCCTCAAAGGGACTATGACCTTAGCAACGTTAATGACCCAACCTAAGGAGCTGGGTCTTCTCTGCCCGCAGAAGTCGACATATGGGCACCCTGGTGCTGTCTCCTTTCTGGAGTGCTGAGAGCTTCCAAGATGTAGGTTCATTAATATTCTGAACAGCTCCCTGGATGGCAGGCAGGGGGCAGGAAGGCAGGGTGATTATCTTCGCTCTGCTGCTAAGGAAATTATAGAGGGCTGAGGTTGGTGGGGTGCAGAGATATCATCCAGGGTTTTGTGCTACTGGGGCCCAGACTGTAGCTCTTGTATGTGCCCTGCAGGGCTGGGCCTTTGAGACCTCAAAGCCATTCAGTATGTGCGACAGGGTAAGGTGTCAATCAAGTAAGGATTGGGGATGGGGGAATGTTTTGCAACTAGCTAGTTGTATAATTTTCAGAAGTTTTTAGTCTCCCTGAAGCTCAGTTCGTCTCTGTGTCATATTTAATAGAATTAGTGATATCAGAATACTAAAGAATGAATGAGATAATATGGGTGCATGTCTAGAATCTTGTACAATGTAAGGCCTGGGTACAACACAGCTATTATTATGAAAGCTTCTAGAATTTGACCCCTCAAGGTAGGAGCTTTTTCCATAGACTGTGTTGGGTTTCCCGGCATAACTCATAAACATCAGGTGTGACCCAAGGCCCAGGTGCCAGGGCAGCAGACACCTGAGCCCCCAAGACCTGGCTTCCAAGAATTGACAGTCGCTGGGATTGAGCCCACCTCTGGTGGGCACTGTTACTTTTGGATGACATGCTATTTCTAGAAGGGAAATGGGAGTCAGTTATCTTTGAGGCTCCTTCAGCAATAAACTCTTTTGATTCTAGTTACTTAGCAAAGATTTGAAAATAATCTGTTTGAATGGCAGATCTGGCTTCTTCGTTCATTTGATCTGGAAGCTAAATGGCTGGACCATGATTGACTATGCATGGAAGGCCCCAGAGCACAGGGTAGGTCTAGCCTGGGGAAATGGGGAGAGTCCTGTGTGGGGTGTGGTCCAGCTTCTGCTGTAAAGCTGCTGTATGACCCTGAAGGAGTCACTGCCTGCTCTGAATTCACTGTTTCATCTGTAAGTGAGGGAAAATGGAGTCAATCCTCCCTTCAGCAGTGAACCATTTGGATGCTGGGTGCTGAGCAAAGATTCGGACAGCTGGAACTGGTTTGTTATTCAGCTATGCCTTTGTGAGCTTTGTTTTTTCCGATAGAGACTGAAGGGAGTTCTCTGAGGGAAGGCCTTGCCTCCCGTTCATGGTCCCCAGACCAGGACATGCAGTAGGCTTTCGGTGGATAGCTCATGGAAATTGGGTACATGTATGTCTTGAAGCCAAGAAGAAATAAAGGAGGATAAGGATAGAGTGGAAGTATGAGTGTACATTACAACCAAAAGGATGTGTGTTAGACCACAGAACAGAAAAACCATCCTCGTTGAGATCTTACAGCTAGCTGAACTGGGGAGTCATCTCCCCAACTTCCTCCTCTGCATAGATCATGAAAGGCAAGCTAGTATGTAGGCAAACTGAATTAATACTGCAAGATCACCCAAAAGTCCAAGAGCCTGGGGTCTCTCACCTTTCAGTTTGGAGCCCTCTCTATTACCATGTTGTCTCCCAGGCTTCTTCTTTGTATTGGTGGCATTAGAGCATTCTTGATTTAACGTCATTAAGATGGGAGTTGGAAGGGTATGGACAGAGGTCAGGTCCCTGGAACTTTCTGAAACCAGTCTCACATTGGAAACACAGCTTTTCTTGATTGTGGCGTCTAGAAGAACGTTTGAAATAGGCTGGGGGTGAGGGAGTTGGGGCATGGAATACCCCTTTAGCAACTGTGTGTTTTTGTTGCCTAGTGATTTGGGGGTACATGTAAACAGAGGCCAGGAGGGTAGAAACAGCTACCAGTGGTCTTCCTCGAGTACATCCCTCTCATGGGGAGCAGACTCCAGCCAGGTTTCATTCCCAAAAGTAGGTCTCCCTATTTTCCTTCATAGCAAGGCTGTGGAACAGCTGGTAAAGTGGCTCCTTTGTCTCTGCAGGTTGTGAAAATTGCTCAAGCCATGCTTGTGTGGTTGGAGAACACATGGGAATAGTTGTGCAATTTTCTCTGTGTTTCTTCCTTATTCAGAAGCACTTCTGTCCTTCCCTGAGAGCCCAAATTCACCTTCTGCTGAATGTAGTATTATAAGAAAACTAGTCTTACCAAAGCAACTTCCTTGGTTGGGGAAAACAGGTTTCGAGGGACATTAGCACAAGCCATCTTGCTGTTGTTGGCTCATTGCTGTGCCAACATGGTAAGCAATGCCCTCTTACTCCAGGACCTTTGGAACGTAATCTCTCTATTGGGAGCTACTAAAGGCATCATATAGTGCTATGTGTTTGCATCTTGAGAGTTGGCCTGAGGGTGAAGTGCTTCTTGAGAATTCCAGAGACTTCCAGGAGTTTCAAAAGTGATAAGCGGGAGGCCAATCTCTACCTTCTTCTAGACCAGGGTTTTTAAATCCATACCACAGGTACCACTGTTTCACCCTGCTTCCACAGCAGATATAACTAACAATATTTATCTGTTTCCTGCTGTATTTGGATTCTGCCTCAGAATCTTTTGCGTAGGTAATTGATTGAGGCAGGTATGATAGTTTTATATCACTGGTCTTTAAGCAAATGAAATTGGTAATTACAATGGTGAGAAACAAAGAAATAGGATCATTACTCAGCCATTATAAAGAATGAAATTCTACCATTTGCAACAAAATGGTCCCAACTAGATACCATTATGCTCAGTGAAATAAGCCAATCACCAAAAGAAAAACATCATATGCTGTAATATATGGCAACATTCACGGAAAACAAAACAAATAGGTAAGCATAGGTAAGCATGCATATAAATTTATTCTCACAGATGAACTATACAGTGGAGGCTGGCATCCCAGGAGGTGAAGTTACATTGTATTATGCATCTTTACTCCCTAATAAAAGCAGGGCTTCCAATGAAACTGTTAAATATACATTGACAACGGGATACTAGACTTTCTAGTATTGCTACCATGCCATGATACATTTAAATAGCAGAATGTTGGACTTGTGAGTATTACTGAAGGACTAGATGATTGTAATAAAAAAAAAGTGGGGAAGGGAGAATAAGGATGGAGAAAAGGGAAGTGGAGGAGGGAAATCCCTAAACCTACAAAACCGTATCATGGAAATAATGATAAACATTAAATCAAGTTAAATTTTAAAAAATGAAATACTGAGAAACATTTTCAGGGTCCTCATACACCAGAAACCCTCATGAACTATGCACACATAGCAAACACAGTGAAGAGATTCAGGAAAACAGGGCAGGAGGGGCATCTCCTGGAGATGGTCGACACCATCCTGTATCACCATTTCCTTCCAGCTTCAACCAGAAGCATAAAATATAACTTTTATGCTACAAGTAAGGACTATTCCATATATTTAGAATTTCCACACATGCTTCCACACTTGCCGAGAGGCACAAACGCAATGCCATGTTTTTTTCAAACTTCAGGCATGTTCTTTTTGTTTTGTTTTGTTTTTAAGTAAGGGTGTTCTGCCTGAATTTGATGCTCAAGTCCCATGTTCCCATGAGATGGGGCAGTCATTGCCGGCCTTACCTGTTGCAAAGCTCTCTGGATGTCAATGCCCTGACCCCAGGGTACAGCTGGATTAGCCAAACAGTCCCCAGCATTGCCCCGGCGGGATATGTCAATTCTCTGCCTCCGCAGGCTCTGGAAAGCCTCAGCCATCACCTTCACCCCATCATAGGTAAGCGCAGAGGTGTACTGGTGGGAGGAATGGAGACAGGCATTAGAGAGTGCTGACAGGCACTGTATTTGGGGATATGTCTCAGAAGGCCAAAGCCAAGGTACAATTGGGGGCAGTGGTAAATGAGGGAGGGAATACCTGCCCCTTCCCACAGGGTTGCTTTACCATGCTGGCCAATGCTGTCCTCATAAATTGGATTTCAGTGTGGCCAGGTATGACTTTTGAAACCGAAATGATTGTAGATTTTTGTGTATAATCATGGAATTCTTAAAACATTAGTTCAATTGGAGAAGACACATAAATTGGATACAGTAGTCACAGGCCAAACACAAGGGAAAGCAGTTGGTTTCTCTGTATTATTATCATCAACAAGAGGCTAAAAGGAACTGTTTACTATGCCATCTAGTATAATAGTGAAAAGAAATAAATTCAAGGAAGAGTGAGCTCTTGAATATTTCTGCTCATGGATCATCCAAGTTTACAGGCTTATATCTGGTAAATTTATTCTCATGCTTCTGAATAATAATTCTCAGTGTTTGCCCCTCAGGAACAAAATGGGGGCTAAGATGTAGATGAGCAAGAAAACAGCAAGTCCAGGAGAATATATGTGGTCTTTGAATTCCTGTCTGTCTTCTACCCTAACTTATTTCCTTTATCTGGTGTGTTGTTTGACTCTGTAAGTTCACAATAGAAGGCAAAGGGATAAATATTTTTTCTCACTTACTTTTAAAAATTATACCACATTTGTAAATTGAGTGGAGTATTTACAGATTAAATAATTAGCTTCTGTGTGATTGGCTCATTGCTTTAAAGCACACTTGTGAGTTTGTTTGCTTAGGCTGTTATTGAAATAAATCTGCATTCCCAAAGAATTAAATCCATTTGAAAAGTGGTGGGAGAGGAGGCACCTCAGAACAGTTAAAAGTTAAAATGAAATCCACTGAGTGTCAAGAGCAATTCTTCCAAGGATTCCCTGTCCCAGATAATAAAGCTGGCCTCAGAATCCTTCCCAACACAGTATTCCACATGGCTACTGTCAAGTTATTTGATTTGACATGGAAAAGAAAAATTACTTGCCATCTTTAAACCATTCTCAAATAGCAACCAAAAAAGATTTTGGCTGTTGGATTTTGAGCTGTGTTTCTGCGAAATGAAAAACAGATCATCTGTATGATAATTGAGAGCTGGACTCTGAGCCAGAACACTACTGTATATTCCTTAGTTAGGTTCCCCTAATTTTGAGCTGGATATGGGGCTGCTCAGAATAAGGACTACCTTTTTGCACAGCTCAGAGTGTCTCCACAAAGAAAAGAGCATCTTCCTGAGCTGTTCAGAATGGGAAGAAAGAGTGTTCCCCAGCTTTTCAGGCAGCCAACTGGGCTAGTTTCCTAAGATGTGCCCAGTGGCTTTCGAGTGGAAGATTTGTGTATAACTTCCTAAAAGAATTCTTAAAGGAAACATTTGTGCTTTACATTCCTTTGTTTTTACCTTGCTGTTGCATGAATTACTAAGATTGTGGCTGGAGTTAAAGCAGCCATGTTAGATGATAAGATAACAAATGCACATAGCCTAACAAGAAGATAGAAGAAGCCCAGGTATTTGTACTAACTCAGCTAATTTCTGCGTTTTTTTGTTTTCAGGATAGAAAAGTAAAATATGTATCTTCTTACAATCATTGTTCTTCTGGGTTGTCTGACTTTTGCCCCTGCCCAACACCCAGTAATCTTCAAAGATATGCTTTCCTTTTGCTTTGCTTGTTCCTTTACTGCCTGCTGCCCATCCTCATACCTTGGGTCTCTTCCAGTCCACCCGGGTGTGGTCACGAGCGTCGCTGTTCTTCCACTGCTGCATGATCTTGGCAGGAATGGTGTCTGTGTAATTCACCAGCTGGAAGCCTGTCACATTTGCTCCACTCTCCTTGAATTTGTTTAAGTCAATGTCCATGAAGCCCTATGGAGGGAGATAGGGAAGAAGTCAGAACATATTGCCTGGAAGAATCCACATACTCATGTTACAGAATCACAGGGCTCTCCATCCCGTTCTCCAAGGTAGAACCCATTTTGCAGGGGTATAGCTGTGTCTCTCTTCCTTCTTGAACTTGGTAACCACCTTAGTCTGTGCACAAAGTTAACATAGTGGTTAAGAGGGCTTGAATGAAGTGCTGGCACATAAACCGCTAAATGCAGTGCCTTTCACCAGTTACTTGGTAGCTTTCTTGTCTGGATGATAGGGGTGAGGAGGTAAGATAGGATATATTAAGTGAGTAATAATTGAATGTTCAACAAATGGTGATTGGGATTATTACAATGTCCCATACAAGTGGAATAAAACAGAAACCTGTAAGAAATCCACCATCCACATCTTCCACCTTTTTAAAAGGAGAGGAATATGAAATTGGTTAAAGACAAGCTCCTGAAGATTCCCCAGGGTTACCAGCAATCTGGGGGAGAGTGTGGATTCTAATATAAGTTTTTATCATTTGCCTTGTTCTCTTTCCCTTACAATAGATAGGATCTTCTCTTCCAAATGAGACCTGATCAATTCCAGTGTCCACAAAGGACTCTTCACTGAAAATGAGATTTCCTTCACTTTCAGCACATTCATTCAAACTCAAGAGGCCTTTGACTTAATGGGAAGTCTTATATAATACATCTAATAATGTATGTACTCTTATTTCTGTGGCTTCATTTCACTCTATTTCTTTATAAGGCAAAAATTATACATCCATTTGACTGATAAAGAGTCTTTGCTCAGAAGCATACCGTGAGTCAGTGGCAGAGACTGACCAGAGTAAAGATCTTGTGTTGGCTCACTTGCTCACTCATTAACTCATCATGCAGCAAACAGTTTTGCCCACCTATTGTGTGCTATTCTAACAGTTAAGGAAATGAGTTACTTCTGTGATGGGGAATACACCTGTAGTGGCAAGATAAAAATATACAAGGGAACTTACGGCACAGCACTGTACAGAATAGTTGTGTATAGTTTGGTAGCATGGAGTTTTGTAAAGAAAGGTAAGCCAGGGTAGGAGAATGTGGAGGGAAAAAAATGTCTTGCTTTGGAAGCTGTGATCAGGATGAGCCTTCCTGAGAAGGTAGTGTTGGCACATGGACCTAAGTGAAGAGAAGACCTATGAGTGAGCTGTGAGGGTATCTGGGAAGACCATTCTGAGCAGAGACGTGGAAGAAGGAGGATGTTGACATGTCTCAGCGATGTAAAGAGATTGGCATGAGTGAAAGGGAGAAATGGTGAGGAATGTGGGACTGGCAGCCCAAGGCTGGGTCACACAGAGCCTTGTGTTAGCTCAGTTTTCTTTACAGGTATAATTATGTACCCCCTGCAGGAATTTAAACAGGGATACTAAAGCCACTGTGTTGGTAGCTCTGTGAATTGGGGAAATTGTCAAATCCCAATGAGGGTAATGAAAGAGTAAGCAGAAGAAACCAGTTAAATAGACAAAAGCCTGACTGGCAGCCAGCAGATCTGAGTGAGTGCTGCTTCCAGCTTTGTCTTGGGCTCCTAGGGCGCTGTCCATGTCTCTTATTTTTTCATGCACTTCAACTAGGTTATTGCTTGGAAGTAATGGATTTTGTGTTTCAGAGATCTCCCTGCTCCTCCTGCCACACACACACGTACCTGTAAAGTTCTGTGAGTTCTAAGTATTTCTACTTTATAAACAAAGTTTAATCCACTCAATCTAGGTTCTTGATATTCTCTTAGCCAAGGAGTGCATTTTTCCTGGTGGGATCATAAGCATTTTTGGGGGTCTCAGCTTAAAATGCCATCTCTTCTGTGAGGTCTTGTCTAACACCCTGAAAGAACCGATTTCGGCTTTGCAGGAGGCACTGTCTGTACCCTGGTCATTTCCACTTCCCTTTATACATTGCTCTTTCGTGTTCAATAACAAGGGCAAACACCTATTATCTTACCTACATGCAGAGTGAATCAAGTATGTTGGAAAGTACATAGTACCAGAAGCAGATTCTAGCTGATGACAGATAGGAACCTAGAGATAAATGTCACAGAATCCTCTCCCTGGTTACCTAATCATTAGGAGTTCTGCCTCAATGTCTAGAGATCCCCTAAGAGATCAAGATCCCTAAACCACCTGCGGCAGAGGGTTCTTGATTGTGCATCTTAAGTGCTTCTTTCCCTTCCATACCTTGCTTCCTTCTTTCCTGATGTTTCTAGAATTGGCATCCAAAACTCTTGTTTTAAGATCTGCTTCTAGAAGAACCCCGTTGAATCACCCCAAATACTCTATCCAGGCAATTGTCTGTGTCTCATTATGGTCTCCAGAGCATGTGTCTTTATTAGAGACAGAGGCTTTTGTCTCTAAGAGCACTGATGCTCTTTCCTCCCACTGCAATATCAGGTCCTGCCTTATTGACTGAGGTATCCTAAATCCTAGCACCCAGAACAATGCCTGACACAGTGTAGATGCTCAGCACATATTTTGGACGAATGAATAAAAACCAAAGACTTTCTGCAAACAGAAGTGCAAGTTAGATGGAGGAAATAGGATGACCATGCAGCAAGTACCAGTGGAAGATTTTAATAGATTGAAAAGGGAAATTGAGTTTGGAAATATTTTGAGATTAAATGATCTTGTAACCATAGTTTACAGTTTCACAAAGGTACTTGATTTGTACAACCTGTTAGTAACAGTGTTAGGTTCTTCTTCTCAATATGTAGTATGAAATGTAAGATCAGCTCAGAGCATAGCCATCCCACCAGTTGTTAACAGCTTGCACACAGTTGAGAAATTTCCCATAATTTTTAAAAAGAACATTTTGTTCATTAAATAACTATTGAGAGAATGAAATGGAAATTATCTCCTGCAGTCAGATTCTGTCATTTGCAAATCTGTAATAAGCGCCTGGGAATTTAATGCTGGCTGTTTCCATCTCAATGTAACAGAGGCCAAAGGGAATGGAAGAGTTTGTCAAACACAAATGCTGCCCAACTCAATAACCAGAATGTCTAACTGCAAAGGTAGTAGAGCCAAAGCTCGCTTATACATAAACAAATTGATGGGACTCTATCTGAATTCCCCTGGCAATCCTGAAAATGAACAAAGAGTGATAAAAACAAGCTCATCGTGTAGTATTTCCAAATCAAAAGTTGAAAATAACTTGGGGTCAGTTTATTTCACCCAGTATCTGATGTTTTCCTTTCTGTGTAAATTTCATGTTGGAAATGATAATCTCACATCTACACAATGTTCTTGATCACTGGGAAATGAGTCTCACAATTACTAGACTTGATTTCTCTATAATGTGAGAAAATTAACTTTGTCAATGCAGCAAAGTGCTCTTGATGAGGAATAGGATATAAAGATGTTAACTCTTTGCTCACCAGTTAGCTGGAAAATTCTACTCAGTTCCCTTGTGCACTCTCATTAAATAAGGTCTAATTAAACCATTTTCTAATTTTCTTTGCCATTTTGTTTAACAAAAAAACCCTTGGGGCTAATATTTGATAATTAGTGCTTTTTTTCTGTATCTTCTTTATTTGCACATGTAATTGCATAATATTGTGTAAGGATGCTACATTGCTAATTATATTCTATCAAAGACTTTATGAAGTTTGGTCACTTTTTGAGTAATTTTTCCTATTTTACGACATGTTCTTAAATGCTGATTCTATTGTTTTATACGCTGAGATCATTGAAAAATGAAATTAATCTATAAGGTACTTGCATTTTAAGCTTTTCATTGTTTTTTATATAATTCAGCAGGAAAATTCCAGTCTCCTAAACCCAGACACCTGCTGTGGTCTCCAAAGCACTGGTAGCATATCCAGCTCATGGCCAACTGACTCTCTTTCTCATTGCAAATGGAACTCTTGATGAATGAACTCGTAGGAGCACTAAGGTCCATGTGTTCCTGATTGTTTCTTTTGCATCTCTGTGGCATTTGGACCTCCCACGTGAGACTAATGAATGGATGATATGAGATGGATGCTCTATCATTTTCCTTTAAGTGCAACTCTCCCAGGATATAGGTCATTACACGGAGAGCCACATCAAGCACACACACTGGGGAGCTTTTGTAAAATAGCTCTCCCTATGAGAGGTCATTCAGGAGCCCTGAGAGGAAACTGGATGTTTGTATTTTGATTAAGTTCTAATGCTGATTAGTCAAAAAATTAACATTTTATTATTATTAAAATAATAAATACAATCATCAAAGGAATCCCAAATAATAGCATATGTTATAAAGTTTGAAGCAATAATATTGGTGTAATATGAGCCATTTTATCATCCTTCTAATGAGGAGTTACAGATGGACTGAGTTGATAAAGCATGAAAGACAGACTTATGTAGAAGTGTGGAGGAAACTGTCAGAAGAATAATCAAACAAAAATAAAGTTTGTGATACTGCCTGCTAAGAAGTCTGAGACTAGAAAGAACAAGCATTTTTATTTTTAATTTTATACCCTAATGTAACATTTTTTTAATATTTCCAAGAGGTACAATACATGTACATCAGGTAATTTGATGTATGTCTTTGGTTGAGAAGCATCATTAGTCACGGGAAAGTAGAAGGGAGAAAAGCAGTGGCAGGATAGGTAAGAGAGAACTAATTTGTTATGGACTGAAAAGTGACAGCTGCTAAAACCGAGGAATCTGGGAGCTTTTATATACCCTACTGAGGCACACTTTCAGAAACATTGATCACAGTCATTACAAAAATGACAATCATGGTTAACAGTCATTTCATATGTGTTATATAACTTTATTCATAAAGAATCTTCTGAGATTATAAGATAACTGTTGCTGAAAAATAAAAAAAAAATTAAAAGTCAGCCCTGGCTTATTTTAAACATTTTCCAAATTCTTCTCCTGAGCCAGCTATTCTGTGAAATTGTTTCCGTATATGATCTTATTTAGCAAACAATCCAGAGAACTAGGTGTGTGCAATAGGCGCTGGATCCATATTTGCATA